TGTCGGTTTTCCAGTCTTTTTCGGAAAGAGTGATGAGATATTCGTGTTTGGACTTGAACTTCAGACGGTATTTGGTGTTAAAATCGGTGCCTAGATTTATTATGATCTGATTTGAAAAATGATTAATAGGTTCTTCTGAGAATGGGACGAGAGCAACGGGATTTTCATGAGAAGAATGTTGGGTTGATTGACCAGTTTCTTTTTCGAAAGATTGGTTAACGAAGTCATCTACATCAAAGTCGTCATCATCATCTGGAGGGTTGGCACACAGAGACTCGGATTCGTGCATATTTATTTCGATGCGACTTAAAGCATCGGCGACGACGTTTTCCTTTCCTTTCTTGTATTTAATTTCGAAATTGTACTCCTCAAGTTTGAGTTTCCATCGGACAAGACGAGAATTGGGTTCCTTAATTTTGTATAACCAGACTAAGGGGTTGTGATCTGTTTCCACAGTAAATTTTACACCATATACATAGGGGCGGAATACTTTGCAGGAATCGAGTATGGCAAGAAGTTCTTTTTCGATTGTAGAATAATTTTTCTCTGCTGAATTTAGGGTGCGAGAATAATAGGCTATCGGATTTCCTTTCTGTGTAAGGACAGAACCGATCGCTATGTTTGAAGCGTCTGTAGTGAGGGTAAATGGTAGGGAAAAATCAGGGTATTGGAGAATAGGGGAGTTACTGAGAGCGGATTTACATTTCTCGAAAGATTCAATATATCTGGGATCTTCGATATCGATTTTAGTACCTTTTCTAGTGCAGCGTGTCATGGGGTATGTGATTTTGGAAAAGTTCGGAATGAAACGTCGGTAGTATCCTACCAGACCAAGAAAGCTTTTGATTTCTTTCACCGTCTTGGGTATAGGAAAGTTTTCAATGGCTGAAATTTTTGAAGGATTTGGTTTTATGCCTTCAGGTGTTATGACGTGGCCTAGAAACGCTACTGACTTACTCAAGAATTCGGATTTATCGGGCTGAATCTTGAGGTTAACTTCTCGGAATTTTTGGAAAATCTGTTTAATATGAATTAAATGTTCCTGGAGGGATTTGGAAAATATGATGACGTCGTCCATATAGACAAAACAAGATTTGTATAAGAATTCTCTTAGGATTTCATCCATCATTCTCTCGAAAGTGGCTGGTGCATTTCGTAATCCGAAAGGCATTCTAAGGTACTCGAAATGACCGTTAGGAACTGTGAAAGCTGTCTTTTCTATAGAATCTGGGTGGACTTCGATTTGGTGGAAACCCTGTGCCAAATCAAGGGTGGTAAAGTATGAACAGCGTCCTAGGTTGTCAAGAATTTCGTCAATGCGGGGAAGAGGGTATTTATCTTCGATTGTGTTTTCGTTAAGACGTCTATAGTCGATGACCATACGGAATTTTCTTTTACCACTTGCGTCAAGTTTTTTCGCAACTATCCATACAGGGGCTGAGTAGGGACTTATAGAAGGGCGGATGACATTGTTCTGTAGTAATTTATTGATTTGGTCGGAAATTTCAGGTAGCATTGATTTTGGGTGTCGATAAGAGCGGGTGAAGATTGGTGTTTCATCTTTAGTTCGAATAACATGTTTTACAGAAGTAGTAACGGTTAAAGGAGAATTTTCTGTATGAAAAATATCTTTAAATCGATGACAAAGATGGAGGATCTTTTCTTTCTCTTCTGCATTCAAATGGTCTGTCCGTAACAAATTAAGATCAAAATAATTGTCGCCAGACGATGGGGGAGTGATTTCTTCGAAATCTGAAATGGATGTGGCGGAGATTGGTTGTGAGAAGTTGATTTCAACATTGTTGGGACGTGGAATTTCTATGAATCCGTCTTCAGCTACATGAATTGATGCTGGAACTATTACTTGATTTTCATGTATAATATCAGAAATGACAACTTCGCCATTATTAATGGAGACCGGAATACGTAGTCGTTTATTACTACGGTAAATTATCCTAAATGGAATAGAGATCTGTAATTTTGGAATAGAAAATACATGTGTTTCGTAATCAATATTGGCTCCTAGTTGATCGAGTTCACCTGTACCTAAAAGTACATCGAAATCGTCATGCCAGTCGGCAATTCTAATTGTAAGGGCTTGCTGTATACCAATTTCTTCGAACAAAGGGTAGTAAAGATTGCGTGTATATGTTTTTGGGGTTTTCTGGTTTTCATCGATATGAGGGTAAAATGTTCATAGAATTCATATTTCGAGTCGAAATTTTGAGCAGCTCTGGGAGTAATTACTGTATCAGAGCCACCGGAGTCGATGAGAACTTTTAATTTGGAATGTGGAAGGTAGAAGTAAGGAAGTTTCGTTGCTTTGGAAAAATTATTCAACTGAATGATTCTATGTTGGGTGCGGGTTCCATTGAGGCTGGTTCTAGAAAATTTTCCTCAGGAGAATCAATGTTTTCATAGCAATCTGTCTCAGGTATACAGTCTGCTTCGTTATAAGGTAAACTAGGCGGGGACTCGGGTTCACATTCAACATTATGATGGAACGTGCGGTAAGAGGACATAGACATTGGGGTAGGTTTGGAATTTGAAGATCTCTGGGAATGAATACCAGACATGGGAGTTGGTTTATATTGGTTTCGTTGGTCTTGTGAATTATTAGGCCTAGACGATGGACCAAAGACTTGACGATTTGTCGGAAAAGATTGTCTCTGTTGGATGGGCTTATTTATATCGCCAAAAGGTCTAGGGTGCATAGAATTTTGGTTGAAAGATTGATTAGACGAATTGGGCTGATTAAAATTACGATGGTATTGGTTATTGGGATTATTGGGTTTGTTCGAAGTATTGAAGTTGTTTGGATTGGGACGAGGTTGAGGTTTTTGGTAATCGCGGGGGTGATTCGTGGATTTCAAGTAAGACATGTATTGTTGTTGCTGTCTGTGATTGTCAAGAGAGATACACTTTTGGAGAGCATCATCTAAAGTATTCAATTCGAAATGAGAAAGATGGTCACAATAAGGGTTGTTGATGCCTGTGCAGAAAGTTCTTAGAGCTTGTTTCCGGAAAAATGAAGCCTTGAACTCTACTGCCTGGGCATTACTTTCACTTAATAAAACATGTTGTAAAAGGTCATTCAGTGCCAAGGTTATACGATGATGATAATCTTGGTAAGTCTCTGAGCGTTTCTGAACAGTTGTAGTTAATTGAGTTAACAAAATTTCTTCATTACGGTGGTCACCGTATTTTTGTAATAAAAGTGGTTTAATATCTGGCCACGAATTTTTATTATGAATGTTCAGAAAATCTCGAGCTTCACCTTTTACTTTGGATAAAATATGTGCATTAATAATATACAATTGTACTGCATCAGCTCCTTGTTGGTTGAAAAATGTGATTAAATTATCTACAGAGCTTATAAATGTAGAAAGATTATCTCCAACTTTAAATTCAGGAAGAGTATTACACAAGTTATTAACATCAGAGTTAGATATAACCATTTTTGTAGATTGTTCGAAAGTATTAGATGGGTTATCAACAATATCGTCTTCTGACCTCTTTGAATGTTTACTGTAGGGTTGAAATCTAGATTTGTTTTGCGACTTGTGTGAAAAATTAACTATAGCTTGAAATGAATCTTGAGGGTACTCAGAACTCATATGAAAAGGAAATGGACTTACAGGATGAGAAGAATCGCACTGATTTTCATCGCCAGTATGGTCCTCCAATTTCTCGGTGTTTCTTCGTGACCCCAGGTAGAAATCTGCCAAATCGTTAAGACGAACCGATGATCCTTCTTGGGTGGATGCCGTGCAGATATCCTGTTCGCAGCGCCAATTATGTTTCTCAGCCACAACAAGGAGTTTTTAAAAAATATTTATTTTGTAGACATGAACGTGTTACAAGTTGGAATGATAATGAATTAAAAATATAAAAGGAAAATAGTTTTAATAAAGGTTTCTGCTGTCGTTGCGACTGGCGGTGTCGTCTTGCTGACGCCTCGGGTTCTTGACCTATAACGCGCGTCTTCCACGCTTCGTAACCGATGTTGCACTAGCGAGCAGAAAAAAGTCACAGGGTGGCATATCGGGTGAAGAAGGCGACTGTTGTAACACGGCGTTCTCGTGATGAAGGATCCAGTTGCTTGCGATGTCTGGGCGCACTCTGTTGACTCGTTTTCGTAATCTTTCGAGTACTTGGCGATAGTAGACTTGATTTACTGTTCGCCCTGATGGAACAAATTCTGGGTGGACGATTCCACGACTGTCAAAAAAGGTAATGGTCATTGCTTCCACCTTCGACTTGCTCATGAGAGCTTTGTTCGGGCGTGGATCGTGCGGAGACAACCATTGTGAGCTTTGGAGTTTGGTTTCCGGGTCGCATTGGAAAAACCAGCTCTCATCGCCTGTAATAAGTCGATCAAGCAGCGTGGGATTGTTTTCCACTTGCTGCGATGGTAATTCGATGCTGCTTTTGCTCCTCAGAAAGGTTCTTTGGAACCAGCTCCGCGCACAACTTTTTCATCCGAAAAATCTTCTGTTAAAGTTTGTCTGTTTCACTGTTCATACCCAGTTCCGAGGACAACATTCGAACTGTTAAACGCCGATCTTCACGGATTATGGTGCTAAATCGAGTTGACCCTTCCGTATGTCACGCGTTTGTCGAATATATTCGTCCAGTTATTTATTTAGAACAGGCGCCCTTTCTGGTTATAAAAGGTCCATCATAAATTGGCGGGTTTCCGTTTTCATCCCACACATGCCACGCAGGTGTTTCACAGGGATTGATTTTTCATTCCAATAGTTTCTGTTCCTTAGTGTTGACTACCTTTTCACCAGTCTACATTTCTGCCAACTTCAGAGTGATTTGACTAAAATCACCTTCTAGTTAATGCTTTCAAGTTTCTTATCCAGTTTTAAATTTTCACCGATGGAAGTTTGAAATTAATATTCTTATAGTCATTCTTTTTGGTGGACACATTGCCTTGCTTTCACCCCAATGTGGTTCTAGAGAAGGTAGTTAGATTGTTAGTCGATGTATAGGGAGAATGGATTAAACAAAGTAACATCGACACTGTAGCCAACAAAAAGGAGGTTATTGCGGCAATGTATAGCAAAGTTAAGAAGATGGGAGTACGAGCTGGGCTCAGAAATAGGAGAAAACATGACAATGCAAGTTACATTAGGGGACAATTATTTTGGAAAGGTACAGAAGGTTGTTTATTCAGGAACCATTATAACAAGTTCGAATCAAATTAGTATGGAGTCTGAAGCTCGGATAAATAGGTAATAGAGATACGGCTGTTCTAGCTAAATTAATGGGAAAATCTCGACAGAAAACTTAAATTGAGACTGTATAATACTACGATTCAGAAAGTAGTCACATATTAATGTGAAACATCGACAGTGACTATAAGAGATATCAGCGGAAGTTGTCGTTCAAACATCTAATGCTGAAAAAGGTATGCGATAAAAGATAAAGAAACTGTAAAATGGAGAACAGCAAGGGGGGGTAATAGAACATGGAGAGCAACAGTATCTCCGTGGTGAAAGCTTTGTAATGAAGAAGAAGACCAAAGCAGAGATGGCTGGATAATGAGGAAAGAGCTGCAGATGGAATCGGCGTGTTCCATTGGAATGTTGTTGAGGCACATGCCCGAAGAGGATGGTGAGGCACTGTCCTGCAGGCCAATGTTGCTGAGCCACAAGAAGTAAGTAATTATAGTCAAGTCTACTCTAAGAGTATGTTGCTGGTATCATCCTTGTTGCATTAGATGTTAATTTCTTAAAATTGGCAAGCCGTGCACATTTCTGTTATAGCTCGATATAATGACCAAAAAACCCAAAATCCGTGCCATAGCAGGGTAAGCCAACATAACGGTTTTACGTCAGTAACGCGCCTTTTCGTAGACATTATACATACTAAGTTTTGCCAATAACAATGTGTGCTCTCCAGACGAATGCAGGCATTTCGGAGCATCATAATGGTAACGGAGAATGAATAAAACTGTTTAATTGGTTGTGTATACTTTACTTCTAAGCCCACAAATGTTTTCATGATAGTAATGTGGATTGTTGTATTTTCAGAACAAATTCATCATATTGCAAGTTTCCAACTAATCAATAAGAAAGCCGTTACAAATACTACATGAGACTTACATCACTGTATATATAGCACCGGACCAATGTATGAACGTGAGAGAGAGAGAGAGAGAGAGAAAGAGAAAGAGAAAGAGAAAGAGAAAGAGAAAGAGAAAGAGAAAAAGAAAGAGAAAGAGAAAGAGAAAGAGAAAGAGAGAGAAAGAGAGAGAGAGAGAGAAACGACCGACTACCGTGAAGAAATGGAGGGGAGCTCATTTGAACGATGCTTTCAAGAAACGCTCCCAAAGCTTGACAACAATGCCATCATTGTAATTGATAATGCTGCAATCAGCAGCAGAAAACTAGGAAAAATTTCCACAATGTCCACAACAAAGGCAGAAATTCAACAATGGCTTCTATCAAAAGACACTAGTTTCAATGTAAATATGGTCATAGCAGAACTTATCCATCTAGACGAAATGGCTACAAACCAAAGTAAGACCATTTTAAGGCTACCCCCTCATCACTGCGAATTAAATCCCATTGAAATGATTTGGGCAAACATAAAAAACTGTGTAGCTAAAATTTGTTTTATGAAGCTGTCGGCAAACAATCGAAACAAAGATCTGGGATTTGGACAATACGATCGATATTCAAGCTGAACCTGTAATAATTAATATTAACCATTTGGGCGATAATTCAAGTACTTCCAGCGAATACGGACCTGTACAATCTTGCTTTTGGGAATGTTGTGTTTTGTCTGGGTGTAAATGGACTACGATTGGGGTATAGTTAGGAGGCACACAGCGTCTACCACCACGACACCGTGCTGCCTGATTACTGTCACATTTAATGGAATTGTACCTTTGGACTAACGCAGATTTCCCATTATCCGATTCTATTAGCTCAGATTCCGAGAATGCCCTTCTACCTTTCACGATGCGGCGCGTCGAGAATTTCGAGCTGCACATGTATCGAACACGAGATTCTGTTTCGCAATTCGCAATATATACTTCTATTGATCGAGAGCATTTGCAAATGAATTTATCGCTTAGTGCTCTCGCCCCACAACAAACGGTTCCGTTTCGGTACAATAAAGGATTAATTACAAACTACAAATTTAATTATAAATTTGCGCGAACGCAGGGTTGAACTAGAGTAGTTCGGGAAAATGTGGAGGAACGGGGAAATAGTTTCGTGAATTGAAACCTGTGAGGTTGAGGCAAATGTCCACAATGGCTCCAGATAGGTTGATACACGCCATTGGTCATGTTTACACGGCGCTGCGCTAGCCAAAAGTAATCGTGCTGTTCTATACGTTTACATCGTTCTGTGTCAAGATATGGCGGCTCATTAACCCATTATAAACGCTAACATAATATTAAAAGAAGGTGATCCGTTACAGGCCAATAGTTCTTCTAAGTGTTGTTTCAAAAATCATAGAAACATTCATTGCAATAAAGATTTTTTATTTAAGCACTAACAAATTCTGACATACTTTCAGTTTGGTTTTCGAACCGGAAATTCAACAGAACTTGCAACAACTGAAAGCGTTTGGCACATACTTGATAGTGCCGATAATGGTATGCTCGTAACAGCAACATTTTTCGATCTCACAAGAACATTCGATGTATGTATCTCACCAATTTGTTTCCGAAAAGCTCAATTGGATTGGAATTCAAGGTTGAGTTAACTCATGGTGGATCTACTTTTTGGAAGAGAAACATTGTTGTTATTAGACCAGCCCCATAAACCATCCCTTTAAGTCCTCCCCAATACCAAAAATCCATCGGATTGAGGTCAGGACATCTTGCTGGCCATTTTCGAGGATCAGCGATCCAGCGATTTGAATAATGTTCATTCAAATACTGAATGACGCCTCTAAAAATGTGTGGTGGTGCTCCGTCATGAAGAAACCACAAATACTGTCTCCGTTGTAATGGCATGTTGTCTAAGGTTTGTTCCAAAAGTTCTGGTAGGTTATTGGCTAGAAAGCTAAGGTATCCTTCTCCTGACAATTTTGGGGATAACTCGAAAGGGCCAATCACCTGATCGTCAAGAATACCTTCAGGAATGGTATGAGGATTTTCTTGGGCCCACGCGTGAGTATTATGGAAATTTAATATCCCGTCGCGCGTAAAAGTGCATTCTTCCGTCGCTAGAATGTTTTTAAAAAAATCCGGATTTTCAATGTTTTTGTGCAAAAACCATTGACAGAATGTTAGTCTGCGATGATAGTCTTCTGGTAACAAGGCCTGCACTCGTTGTACATGGTTGGGATAAAGCAAATTTTCCCGTAGGATTCTATGGACTATGGTAAGCGATAGTCCTACGCGGCGGCCTAATTCTCGAGTGCTTATATTGATTTCCACGATATTTAAAATTTGTTCCTCATGCTCTACAGTAACCTGTCTTTCACGAGTGCGAATATTAGTGGGCTGAACACTTCCTGTATCTCGAAGTCTTTGATACACTTGCACAAATGTCCTTCTGTCTCGGTGTACCCGTTGGCGAAATCTGTCAAGATAAATTTGAGCTGCAAGATTTGATTTCTGACTGTAAACTAACAACATGTCGGCGAACTCTTGATTCGAGAAGATTGTAAATAAATACGACGACGTACGCGAACAAAATCAAAACCATACTCCCGAGGATCTGATCGACAAAACGATAAAGTAATTTATCTGCGCAAACCGATAACTAACCACTGTTGCCGTTTGCGACCGATTGCCGGTTTGAAAAGAGTGATGAAAGACCGACGCGCTGTTGTCATGTGTGTTTTAAATATTTAATTTAATGAAACCTACTTACTTATTGACTACAAATTTTGGCGTAACTTAGAAAAACTGAATGCCATTTATTTGTTAATTACCCAATTTAAAATCGTTACAGATTAGACTATAGAAATTAGTAAGATTGTGGTCGATATAAAGCACTTAAAGTTGTAAACTATAAAGCCATTTAGACAAAAATCTATTGACTTTTGGACCATGGGACATATGCACTTTTTGACTTGTTTTGACCCCTTCTATTACCCATTTCAATCATGACTACCATAACGTTTACATCCTGTATATCAGTGAAGGTACACCATGTTTGTACGCCGATGACACCTGTAAATCTGCCTTGAGCAAAACACGAAAATTGTGATAAAGGAATATGATGAGATATGAGATATGAGATATGAAAACCGCCTAATCGTCAACTGTAATAAGACTGTCACCGTGCACTCACACCGTCGACTAATATTAATTACAACTTTATGGGATTTTTAATAAAAACATTCATGTCATTCAAATTCTTAGGTGTCATTTTAGACTTACATTTGCCATAGGAGGAGACTGTTAGTTCAGTATGTGCTAAGCTTGGAACATGTTATTTTGTAATAAATTCCGTAAAAATACATAGATATAGTCCTTTCAGTGAAACAAAGCAGTTACGTCGTATTTAGTAAATTTGAATGCCAACTTTAATGCAAAATAGATCATAAATTGGTACGTATAGTTTGAATTTCTCGGGTACATTTATGTTGGTAACAGTTTTCTGTGTTGTGACATTGTCGTAAAGGTTGTCAGGTAACTACGCCGACGGCTGTTGTTTATTTGTGGTTTATTTCCGAGGATCTATTAGTTTTAAATAATGCAGCAACCATATGCGTCACTGTCATTATTTGACAATGTGACGTAACTACTTTGATTTAGTGAATATACTGTATATAAAAGGCTTAATGTAATGATTCTATTTCATACCGTATTGTGTTATGGTGTCAAGCTAAAGACGTTTAGCGTGTTTGTATCCTCCAATAAAGGATCATTCCTTTAATTTTTAAAATTCACCATCAGTTACCCTGCATGGAAATATTCAAACTTTATCGTATTCTTACCATGGCATTTATTTATATTTTCAAGCTATTAGTGTATGTTTCCTAAATAAATATAAAAAGAATTATGATATGCATAATTACAAAAATCATTTCATTATACAGTAAATTCTGTTACAAGCACTATAAAAAGTCTGCAGTTGATGCTTTTCAACCTTCTTCTAGCCAACATGCGTGAGCTTATTTCGTTGAATAGTTTTAGCCTACTAGTTTCATAATTAAAATTTCACATCAATTCTTTTTTGACTTAAATATTGTCATAATATAAATTTTCAATATTAAGTCGACGTTTTTCCCG